GTAGGTCAAATAACAAGACACAATACAGTCAAAAAGGAGCTATCAAACCAATGTTATATCCATTTGTTTTCCTAGAATATAACCGAATACTAATGATTGACCAAATATATTTACAGCAGCATGTAAATAAAAGGATAGTTACATACCAATAATAATTCAGAAAGGAGATAGATAGATCGAATAGATCAGGTTTAAGTATCAATGTATTTTATACGTGATGTTTAGATTTATCTGTCGGTTTGTCCATCCATCCAGGGATGTGGACTTAAGTCGCATGATTCGGCCTTAAGTCACGAATTTGATGATTTGAGAATCAACTGAACATAATCAAAGAAGACTTTTGACTTGACTTAGACAGCAATGACGATTTGGAAAGTCTACAAAGCTGCTAAAATCAGAGTTGTGATCAGTCTATGCTGGACCCTGGAGAAAGACAAACAAAACAATATATTTAAAATACACAACTCATTTCTTTTCTTTTTTTAATTACACTCTAAGATATTTATTTTTAGTCAAACAATAAAATATAATAAAATGTCATGTCATGCAATTAACAAATTGAGTCATTACCAGATGAAACAAACAGATTAAGGTTTCTTTTAACAAGTGTTACATTTAAAATGCTGGTGCACATTGTAGCAGACCACATTCCCTTATGTTCGGTTGTCTGTACCCCCTTGTTCATCTCCCAAAAGACTTGTGTGTGGTCCCTTGTTATTCCATAGTGAACACTGACCTTCCCTGGCTGCTAACCACAAATTAACAACTTGACACCTCGCTTGAGTGCTTTCCCTGGGAGGCAAACATTCATATAACTGCACACACGTGGTACATGGTGGCCATTTTGTCTCCCGAATGCAGGCAACGGTACTTGGTCGGGCAAAAATGGTACCGCTGCCAGGCCCACTTCCCAACCACCTACATGAACGGTGTTCGGGATATAGGATCTACCAAATAGGGGGAGCATTCGCTCTATAGCAGTCAGAATGAGCGTTTGTTAGTGTTCACACAGGAACCCCTGAAAGCCGACTGGCCATCCTACCCAATTCTCTGGAACTGTTTTGGGCTATCACCTTGTGGCCGGCCGGTCGGTCAAAACGGTGTTTGATGATAACTTTTGTTCTTCCGAACCGATCTGAGGGCTTTTTGTATATGTTGTGCACTCAGATCGGGGCTGTTCGGGAATATGATTTTTGTGGGGTTCCTGTACTGTTTTAATGCATTTTGGGGTATATTAAAAATATCTGTACGTTTTGTATTTGAGAGATTATTATAATTTAGTCTGTATTGAGTAATACTGCATGCAGTGCAGTATTTCTACTATAGAAGTTGCCTCTGCTTTTGAATTTACTCTGTTGTCAGCATGTGTTCTGTTTTTTTTTTTGTGTTGACATTAAAGGTTAATAGTGTTAGTCAGGCAAGTTAAAGGAAACCATGAGGTGTGATATTTAACACCAGGAATGGTATGTTGTAAAGTGTGATGAAAACATCTTATATCTAATATATATCCTAATAGTGTTGTACAAAGTGGCTGTCAGTATGATCACCACTAGAGGAGGAGCTAACCTTGCAATGTAAACATTATAGTTTCTCAAAAAAACTGCTGTATTTTACTTTGCAGAGTTTAGGGAACATGGACACTGTACTTCATTGAGGAATAGTCTGGGTCACTAAAGTGTTCCTTTAAGGTTGCCTAGGACCCTGGGCAGAATGCCAGATTAGGACACTTACTTAGAGACCTGCATGCGGTTATGTGAGTCATGTGTGGTAGCTGAGTGTTGTGTGTATGTATTTTCTACATAGTGTAGTATGTGTGGATACCCCTTGCCAAGATACAGCCTGCAAGCTAACCAAAAGCACATTTAGAAAAGAGAGTAGGTTGTATTACCGGGCCTTAGAATGGCCAAATTGATGCTAGAAGGAATATTGAAATATCAGAACTAAATGGATTCAGCCAAAAAGAAAAATAACTCAATACTATATAAACAAATAATACAACATATTAGTAATGACACTAGAGCAAACAAAGTCAAGGTCTGGTACTCAGAAATACTGGAACAAGGGACAAGACAAAAGTCTGCCTAAGGTCAGGCCAGATCTGGTACAGATTTTGCCTAGGCAAATATCAAGGTCTAGATCAAGCTTATAAATACAATTGGTAGTACCAATGTATCTATATGTTATTGATATGTAAAATAATATAATGATATAGCAAGTGATAAAATAGAATAATATACACCTAATTGGTGCACACCTAATGTGAAACAGAGAATGTAAAGATACATTAAATAACTGACCTTATAGTAGTATTTTTATAAGTGTGTATGTCTTATGTGTCCCAAATTTATACGGGTAACATAAAAATTATAATTAATTATTATTACGGGTAACATAAAACGAATTAAAAGTTAAATGTGACATAGGTGATGTTCCAAACCTATGTTAAAGATAGATAAATATAATTAAACCTAAAAGTGTATGATGTGCATATAAGGAGACAGAAATGTGTGTATATAAAGTGAATGGAATATATAAAAAAGAAGAAAAGAAAATATGTACAAGACATATATGAAGAAAGGCACCAACCATAGTGGTGTGTTGTTGACAGTAATAAAGATATATGAGAATGTTGAACTAGTCAGATGACTAATTAAAGTTGAAAATAACTAGAGAATATGTATAAAAATAAATTAGCTGTGATTCCTCCTAGTGAAGAAGAAAAAAAAAAAAAAAAAGGTATTCTATAAAAAGGCATTGAGTTCAAAGTCTACATTTAGACCTCTAGGAACCAAAGTCTCTAAATGGAATATCCACTTTGCTTCCGTCTGATCCAAATTTCTTTCCATATCTCCCCCTCTCCAGTGAACATTCACCTTTTCAATGGGTAAAAATTCCAATCCCGTGGAGTCTCCTCCATAGCACTCCTGAAAATGTTTAGAGAGATTATGTGTTTGGAGTCCTCTTTTTATATTTCGGATATGTTTCGCTATTCTGATTTTTAATGATCTCTTAGTTCGACCTACATACTGTTTGGAGCAAGGGCATGTGATAAGATAAATTACTCCTGTTGTGTCGCAGCTCATGTTGGTCTTCAGATCATATTCCTTCTTGCTAATTGTAGATGTGAATTTCGTAGTTATAAGCTCCAAGGAGGAACTATTCTTACAGGCCATACATTTCCTGCATCTTCTAAAACCTTTATCCATTGTTTTACTCTGAGTAGTATTAGAAGATTTGAGCGTCGGGGCCAACATGAGTTGTAGATTCGGTGCTCTGGTGAAGATGATATGTGGTTTGGGGTCTAGAATTTCCGTAAGTGTGGGGTCATTCCTAAGAATGTTCCAATGCTTTTTCAGAATTTTCTCTATGGTGCGAGATTGATGGTTAAATTGCGTTATAAAAGTGGGTGCTGATTTGTATGTCTCATCAGTCTTTATCTTGTTTTTCAAAGTATCTTCTCTCGGGATAGTTATAGCTCTCTTTTGGGCTTCAGTTAATAATTCTGTAGGATATCCTTTATCCAGGAATCTCTGCTGCATTTCTTCCATTTGTTCTTTGCATTTGTTCTTTTCCATTGTTGATCAATTTTGTCTAATCCTCCTAAATTGGTTGTATGGAATATTTCTGAGCCAGGTTTGTTTGTGATGACTGTTAAAAGGGATAAAACTATTACAGTCCACGGATTTCTTAAAAGTCTTAGTATGAATTCTCTTTTCCTCAATAAAAATATTAAGATCTAAAAATTCGATCTGTTCTCGAGAATGGTTAAAAGTAAATCTAAGATTGTATGGATTAGTGTTGAGGTAGATCTGAAATGATTCTAGGGATTCTAAGTTACCTTTCCAGATAAAAAAAAACAGTCATCTATATATCTTTGCCATAGGGACAGGTTTGCGCCAAAAGGGCAATGGTTCCAAATGAATTCTTCCTCCCATTTACCCATGAATAAATTTGCATAACTTGGCGCAAACCGTGTCCCCATGGCCGTACCTTCTATTTGTAAATAAAACTGATCATCGCACCAGAAATAGTTATGGGTGGGAATAAAAGAAATACACTGGATTAAAAAGTCAATTTGGTCGTTCTTTAATTCCGAATATACTGCTAAGGAGTATTGTATTGCCTCACATCCTTGTAGGTGTTCAATCACCGTATAGAGTGAGGTAACATCTGCTGTAACTAAAAACATATCTTCAGTCCAGTTAAAATCAGATAAAAGATTTAAAATCTGTGTTGAGTCTCTTAGGTGCGACTTTAAGCAAGGTACCAGATTTTGTAGGTATTGATCAACATATTCGGAGAGATTGGCAGTGAGGGATCCTATTCCGGAAATGATTGGTCTTCCCGGTGGTTTCGTAAATTTTTTATGAATTTGGGGTAAATGGTAGAAAACAGGTATTCTAGGGAATTGTTTAAATAAATATTTAAATTCTCTGTCATTGATAATCCCTCTCTCCTTCCCTTGATCAAGTATTTCTCTTAGTCTCTCCTTAAATTGTATAGTTGGATCTTGTTCGAGGTAAGTGTTGGTATCACTCAATAGTCTTTGATTCTCTCCTATGTAGTCTTCTGTGTTGAGGATGACCAGTCCACCCCCTTTATCTGCTGCTTTAATGGTTATATCCCCCAATTTTATGAGTTGCTTTACTGAGTTTCTCTCCTTTTTGATAAATTATCTTTCATGATCTTATTAGTAATCTTCTTTTGAAAATCCTTCTCAACCATCTTCTCAAACATTTTGATTGAATCAGTCTTAACGTGATGTGGATAAAATGTAGAAGTAGGATGTAGTCCTGTATGTATGTAGTCTTGTACTGTATTTGTTTCTGTCTTGTCCTTATCTGCAAATAATTTTTTAATGGAGACTTTGCATATAAATTTATGTAAATCTATACATACATTCAAATTGGAACTATTAGAGGTAGGTGCAAATTTTAAACCCTTTTTAAAAAGTGATATTTCATCTAGGTTGAGGGTTCTGGAGGATAAATTAAATATGTTTATCTCTTCCTTTTTTGCTGTATGGGATCCTCTTGATACTCTGTTTCTTCTTCTGTTTCTCTTATTGTTCTTTTTTTCCTTAGGTCTGGAGACCTGAAGTCCATCATAAATTTCTTGGGGGGGATCCTTTCCCGCTTCTCTAAAGAATCATTATCCATGTGTATTGTTGAGGTAGGTTGATTGTCCCTCTTATCTTTATCAGGCATATTGGTGGATATGCCCTTTGTTTGATCTGGAGAAAGGACCCTTGAATCTGGAGTGTGTTGATATTGATGCTCGCGTGGTCTCCAGTTGGTGTGATGTGAATGTTTGGTATATTCTGGGCGTTGATCATGTTTATCTTTGGAATGTTTGTCTCCTCTGCATCCAGTAATTGGATTGGTATTGTCCATAGTTTCTATCATTCTGTCTCCTGTTATATGTAGATCTGAGTCCGGTTAGCTATATGATTCTTCATATAGATTCCCTGAGAGATCGGAGTGTCTTTAAATGTCTTATGATGTTGAGGTCTATATTCTGTTTCATGTCTCATAGGGGAGTTATATCTCTGCCTTGGATATTTTTTCCAGTTTCTCTGTGTCTGTGTCTTATAATCGGCCTGGTCTCTCATAATTTTCTTCCCACGCAACCCGCCAACCAACAGATGGATACAACCAATTTAGGAGGATTAGACGAAATTGATCAACAATGGAAGTATGCAAAGAACAAATGGAAGAAATGCAGCAGAGATTCCTGGATAAAGGATATGCTACAGAATTATTAACTGAAGCCCAAAAGAAAGCTATAACTATCCGAGTAAAACAATGGATAAAGGTTTTAGAAGATGCAGGAAATGTATGGCCTGTAAGAATAGTTCCTCCTTGGAGCTTATAACTACGAAATTCACATCTACAATTAGCAAGAAGGAATATGATCTGAAGACCAACATGAGCTGCGACACAACAGGAGTAATTTATCTTATCACATGCCCTTGCTCCAAACAGTATGTAGGTCGAACTAAGAGATCATTAAAAATCAGAATAGCGAAACATATCCGAAATATAAAAAGAGGACTCCAAACACATAATCTCTCTAAACATTTTCAGGAGTGCTATGGAGGAGACTCCACGGGATTGGAATTTTTACCCATTGAAAAGGTGAATGTTCACTGGAGAAGGGGAGATATGGAAAGAAATTTGGATCAGACGGAAGCAAAGTGGATATTCCATTTAGAGTTCTAAATGTAGACTTTGAACTCAATGCCTTTTTATAGAATACCTTTTTTTTTTTTTTCTTCTTCACTAGGAGGAATCACAGCTAATTTATTTTTATACATATTCTCTAGTTATTTTCAACTTTAATTAGTCATCTGACTAGTTCAACATTCTCATATATCTTTATTACTGTCAACAACACATCACTATGGTTGGTGCCTTTCTTCATATATGTCTTGTATATATTTTCTTTTCTTCTTTTTTATATATTCCATTCACTTTATATACACACATTTCTGTCTCCTTATATGCACATCATATACTTTTAGGTTTAATTATATTTATCTATCTTTAACATAGGTTTGGAACATCACCTATGTCACATTTAACATTTAATTTGTTTTATGTTACCCGTAATAATAATTAATAATATTTTTTATAATTTTTATGTTACCCATATAAATCTGGGACACATAAGACATACACACTTATAAAAATACCACTATAAGGTCAGTTTTTTAATGTATCTTTACATTCTCCGTTTCACAATAGGTGTGCACCAATTAGGTGTATATTATTCTATTTTATCACTTGCTATATCATTATATTATTTTACATATCAATAACATATAGATACATTGGTACTACCAATTGTATTTATAAGTTCCCTTGATTGTTCTTATTTGATTGTTTTTATCCATTTTTTCTCTCTCCTTTTTATATGCTTCTTGCAGGTATGGAATGCAGCTAAATATTGAAACCCATAATATTCTGTCCGTCCAGAGAAAACTATCCGTTCATTATTTTTCTGTATCAATTTATTCTATTTGTATGTGTTTTAATTGCTATTATCTTGTACTTTTTATAATAACATCAGAAGTATTACACAAACATAATGTTACAGGGTGCAACAACAAGTGTTCTTTTAACACATTTTAGCTATAATTTGTATATATATATATATATATATATATATATAGACTTTTAACAGCATAATTTTAGACTTTTGCTGCAACATATCTTTGAAGTATGTCTTTTTAAAATTGTATTATGTAATAATCAACCAATTGGATGTATATTCAAATCATTATAATATATTTTTTATATTTCCGAATTTTATCCTTTCAGTGCAGTATATCTCTTTAAGTACTTCTTTCTATTAGAACTACAAGAATTAAATGTATTAATTTTATGCAAACAGTTATATTACATTAAGATTAATTATGTGCAATAATTACAATCAATTAACTGGAAGCATATTTAAACTATTGCTAAACCACGAAGCTCTACTCTATCTCTGAAGAAGTGGGGCGGACACCCACGAAACGCGTCAGATTGCAGCTAGCCAAGCAGGATACGGTTGCAGTTTCCAATCCAGCAGTAGGACCTTAGTCGTACCGAAAAATCTTCCACGAGTTGGGGACCGATCAGTCTGCAGCGTGCATCTCTCAGAGTGAGGTCTGAGATGCACGCTAACCTCACTGACAAGCCGACAGCTAGAAGAAACTTTTGTGACACAAAGTATCCATATCCATCCTGGCCGGTCCCTGTGGCAAATTCTAAATAAGGACTACTATTGTGCTGGTAACATTCATGCTAAACGTTCCTGGCTTATATTTTTGTATTTTAATCAGTTTATATACTTATTTTTTACTATCCTTCATTAATAAACTTTATGTTACATTATCCTTAAGATTTATCTTTTATACAAGTGGTTACTTTTAAAGCGATACTTTACTCTATTGCATTATAGGAACAGTCCCCAATACTGCATTCCTATTATATATGGTTTACATCTTTCCCTATAAAGTACACTATTTTGGTGTATACTATAATTTGTCTGTTTTTTTAAAGACATATGCACCATATATGGTTATATTGCACCATAAAATAAAGAGACTCATCATATCTCTATATATAATTTTATATACATTTTTTATCATTAGAGAGAACAGTTCCATATACTGTTTCCCCAATTTATATGTTTTATATCTTTATTTGTAAAGTATAACACTTGGTGTATACTCCATTTATCCTGCCTATAGCAGATTTCAAGGTGTACACACCACACACTATTGCTGCATCTTTTTTGAAATATTGGAGTTCATTTTAGTTTATTTCCAACATCACCGTATTTTTAATATATTTTTTTAATTACATTTTAGTTTTTATTTTTTAAATCCAATTTTATTAGGTGTTATTACACCACAAGCCATCTTAGGTGGACCAGCTCCTGGAATATTCATACCAACCTAGGTTGTTATTTTTCATCGTAAAATAATATTTGTTTTCATGCGGCGTTCGGTTATTTAGACTGGGATTTGAATGGTACTTTCACGAAAGGTGTGCTCAGACCCCAGCTATCTACCGAATGGTCATTCGGTAAAATAACATGAATAATGTGGAAGTTATGGATTTTTGTGTGAAATGTTAGTTCTGCTGCACGGAGAGATAATCCACTTAACTGGATATTCTAGTGGGAGTATCCCTCTCGTGCAGCAGTGCATGATGGGAGAAATGTCCGGGTTGTTAAGTCCCCAAGTAGTCCCCTACTGTACAACCCCTGTAAGGTCAGTAGAGAAACCCCTTGCATGGGGAACTGCATAAATACTGTGACCTGTGATTAAAAGCTCAGTTGACTCCCAGCCTATGTGTCATCTAGTTCTTGGGAAGGAAGGATTTATCCAACTCTCATGCGCCTCCTACCATCACTGTTGCTGTAGGTTACCATGTGGCACACAGGCCAGGCCCAAGAGAGAGGCAGAAACGAACTGCTGAAAACTAAAGATAGCATGTGCTGGGTCCCTGTAGTGGAGAGGTAGTATAATCCACAGTATCTCCGCTGGGTAACAGGAACAGCATAGAATCCTTCAAGCAAAATGAGTACAGCATGCAATAAACCTGGTTTTGCTTAATTTTGCTTGAAGGATTCTATGCTGTTCCTGTTACTCAGCGGAGATACTGTGGATTATACTACCTCTCCGCTACAGGGACCCAGCACATGCTATCTTTAGTTTTCAGCAGTTCTTTTCTGCCTCTCTCTTGGGCCTGGCCTGTGTGCCGCGTGGTAACCTACAGCAACACTGATGGTAGGAGGCGCATGAGAGTTGGAGAGAGGAACTGCCAGAAACTGAAGATCTTGTGGAGCCCCTCTTCTCTATACTTGATGCAACCAGTGGCCCAGGGAAGGTGCACATTGGGTAGGTGGGCACTCCTCGTGGCCCAGGCCACATACAACCTTTTTAGTGGATGCAGTGTGTGTGTGTGTGTGTGTGTGTGTGTGTGTGTGTGTGTGTGTAGTGGATGCAGTGTGCATATAGATGCAGCCAGGCTGTAACCCCTGATGGTGGCCTTGTGTGTCAGTGTGTGTGTATGTGTCAGTATATATGTGTATCTGAGTGTGTAAGTGTTGATGTGTATCTGTGTGTCAGTGTGTGTATGTTTTAACAGAGCTGTAACTAGAAACCACCGGGCCTTGGTACCTCATGTGTCTCATTCTCCCCCCTAGCCCCTCCATTTGTCTCATTCCCTTCCTCTAACATACACCTATATAAAGGGCAATATTAATTTGAATACAATACATTTCCCTGGGGCTAATTACGCAAAGCAGGAACCTTGCATAATCTGGGGAGATAGATAGACTCCATCCAGCACAAGTCCATGTAGAAACTATATTTCCTAATAAAATGGAAACAAAATATAGTGCAATGTACTTTACAGCTGTTATTTCTGTAAAACATACCTGTAAAATATTCATTTTATCATGTAAAATATTTGTTCTCGCAAATCTGAACTGTGAGAGCCTCTAGAGAAAGCTTATGCACAGATGACATTTAACAATGATAGAATCATGTAATTTTATGCTAGAAAACACTCTGGGAGTGCTACCAGACAAATCTGTTTTCATACTTGATAAAAAATGATAAGGATTAATCTCAAATATATACATTTCAAAAATCCATGCAATACTGCTAGAATAAGTATATATAAATATATATATATATAAATATATATAAAATGAGAGCACTCACTGGATTTGGGGAATAAATTCAAGTGATTTATATTACAATAGCATAATTTCCATCAACGTTTCGACCATCTAGCGGTCCTTATCAAGAGTGAGAGGACATGTTAGTGTGTTTGTGGAAAGGTAGTGAATAGTAAATAGTGACTAGAGTGTGATGTGAGTAAAGTGCAAA